CCCCAAAACCCCAAAACCCCAAAACCCCAAAACCCCATAAAAAGATGGAGAATAGAACTGTATAAAATATTTTTGGATATGAAAGCACAAAGAAACACTTCTCATTTCTCATCGGCAAACACTGGCTCTAAAACTCGTGAAAGTACACCTGCAAAGGACTTTGTTGTTAGAAGTAAGTAGTTTATTCCTGAGCGGATTCGGTTTCTAAAACTCTGAATACCCAACACTTTGTGTTCAACACATTTGCTAATGGTGGTTTAGAACAGATAAAATTGGATGTACCCTTTGACCATTCGAAAAAGGAATGGATTTCTCTAAAACTGAAACAGTTCCAGCAAAACAAGATTTCTAAGGGAAATACTGATATCGATCAGGAACTCATAAAGTTATCCCAAGTGGAGCCAACCTCAGAGCTGAAGTTTCCAAAGATCAGAGGAGTCACTTTGAAGAAGGCCTCTGTAGATTTGGCTTCATTCCGTACTGTTGAAACTAGGTAAGAGGAGTTATAAATTTTTCTAAATCAAGCCAGTTCGATTTTGTCATCAGGAATTCTAATGCTAATTTACATAACTTTAGGAGGCATGAAAAATCAGTTGAGAAAAGAGTTTCAAATTTCTCCTCTTTGACTACAAATGCTTATGAGGTCAATAAGAGGTCTATCTTAGTGCCTACTCTTGCTAGTGATGACTCAAATATAATTTGTTCTGCAACCCCTGTGAGATACAGGAAACAGAAGAAATTTAAAACTACCAAGAACACGTTAAAAGTTCTTCAACCAAGAAATGTAACCGAAAAGGTGAAGTCCAGGCGTTCTACCAAGTTTTCTCTCATTTCCTCAGTGATGGATCCTATCATTGCAACAAATAGGCGAATTGACAGGATCGAAAGAGAATGCTCTACTCATGATTCCTCCCTCTTGACTAAGAGTGAATCTGTAGAAAGAGTCCACTTAAATCGTTCCCCACAAGAATCTTTAAATTTTACACTCCAGGTGAGGAAAGTAAAGAATTTCGATGAGAAAATCAGAATGAAGAAGAATGAAAGACTCATGAGCATCATTGAGACAGGTATCAGCAAGGAGTTCAAGAGCTGTAGTAGAATTCCTAAGCCCAAGAACTCAGAATTCTTGTGTAAAGTGGACAGAAAGTATAAGGTCCTGCACTCTAAATTTCAGCCTAGATTCGGCATTAAGAATTCCTTTGACACAAGAGATCCCAACTGCTTGCTCTAAGCATGCAAGTATATCATATTATCATAACATATCACGCCTATCCATGAATCTGAAAATAGCGTCACTTTTCTGACTAAATTAGAATCTGGTGCCTGAAAACTTTGTGTAGTTTAGAAACCGGCTTTCTTACAGTTCTTCCTGATTTCTGTTCTATCGGTTACAAAATTTATAACACCAAATTCAATCCGCAGTCAGATGTGAGGGGTTTTGGGGTTTTGGGGTTTTGGGGTTTTGGGGGTTTTGGGG